GTGTGCGCACGCGCGCGCGTACGCCTCCTGGGGCCCCACCACCTGGGCAGGGCTGACGGAGACGCTGGCCTACAGCTCCCAGGCCCCACCCTCACCCTCCACCCTCACCAGCTCCCACGGCCAGGCCTTCTGCCTATCCACAGCCCAACAGGACTTGGAGGGACACAACCCCTCACTTTAAAGACAGGAAAACAAGGCTGGAGAGGGCAGTGACTTGCCAAGGCCACCTGGCCAGGCGGTGCCGCTACCGGGAGCAGAGTCCAGGTCTCCTAATGACTGGTTATGCTGTGCGCTGCCCACGGAACCAGCTGGGCAATGAGCCGCTGATAAGGAGCCTGTTCCTGATGCCAGCCTCCCCCGTGCTGCGTCCCAGGAAGCCGGGCGCACAGGCCGCTGCACACACCACGCCTGCTCAGCCTGCCCTTGGCCCGCCTTCTCCCCACCTCTATTCACGGCACCTCCTCCAGGAAGCCTTCCAGAGGTGCTGTGTGACCACAGCCAGCCACCTAGGCACCCGGCTTCCCGGTGCCCCTTCCTCTTACAGCCCCTGTCACTTTTTTCATGTTCGCGTAGAAAATGTAGAAAATCCAGAAAGGTTTACAGATGAGCTGTCATAACCCATATTTCCTGTTATCCAGGAATAAGATAACGCTGTTTTTCCCTTCATTTTGACTGTGCATTTCCAACATACTTGGGGTCCTACTTGGCTTGTCGTCCTGACATGTTCATGGCGCATTCTATCAGAGCACGTCCCCATTTTCCTGGCTGTGTGACACCCCTGTGCGTGGCGGTTGTGCCGTAGCGTAATCAGCCAGCCACCGCCGTGTGTAGTGTTCACTGCGTCACCATAACAAACACCCTCGGACACAGACCCCGTCTTCATTTCTGAGTGAATATCCATTGGGTTCAAAGAGTACCAGCCCTTTTCACGTCTCCGTCGAAATGCCAGACTGCCCTCTGGGACATCTGTGCCAACTGGGGCCATGAGCGCCCCCTCAGGAGAGTCTCCTCGGATGAATGAATAAATGAGTGAGCGAGTGCATACATGCGAGAGCCTCTGGTGGATGGATGTGCCGCCCCCGGCCGGCTGCGGCGGGGTGGCAGCCCACAGGCCCTCCTGCCCTCCCGCCCCCAGATCTACCTGCACCTGCGCTCCTACACGGTCCCCAGTGAGCAGCGCTACATCATCCGCCTGCTGCTCGTGGTGCCCGTCTATGCCTTCAGCTCCTGGCTCAGCCTCCTCCTCCTGGGGGGCCACCAGCACCACATCTACCTGGACTCCCTGCGGGACTGCTACGAAGGCAAGTGTGCCTGGCTCCACTCGGGCACGGTCAGGAGGGTCTAGGAGGCTGGAGCTGGACCGAGGGAGGGGTGCCTGGGGCAGCCGCCCTCCTGGCCTGAACCTGGCTTAGCCAGGACCTGTGGGGATCGGCTGCCCCACAGCCGGGACCAGTGGTGCCAAGAGGGAGCTAGTGGACATGGGTAGAGGACTCCCAGGCTCTGAAGAGGGGAGCTAGGGCTGCCGCCGGGCCTACCCAGAGCCGGGAAAGGAAACGGGGCCCTGGACAGGGTCAGGGGAGAGCATCAAAGCCATAGCGACTGCTGCAGGCACTGGGGGTGGCGTGCGGTCCCAGAGCCATGCTGGGAGCCCCAAGAGGGGAGGGTCCTACAGTATGACCTGAGCCTCAGCTTGTCCTCCATGGACCAAGGAGTTCTGTGTGGGCCAGATGTGGGGGGCGGGGAGCCTCTATGCAAGCGGGTGCCCACGTGGATGCCCAGGCTCACTGCCGCCCACCTGCCGCCCTTGGCTCCGCAGCCTTCGTCATTTACAGCTTTCTGAGCCTCTGCTTCCAGTACCTGGGGGGTGAGAGCACCATCATGGCTGAGATCCGAGGAAAGCCCGTCCGGTAAGCACCTCGCCCCAGACCCCTGGCCCTCCACGCCCAGGGCAGTGGGCGGCCCGGGGCCGTGTCCACCAGGAACACGCCTCAGGGACTTGCACACCCAGGTCCAGCTGCCTCTACGGGACCTGCTGTCTTCAGGGCATGGCCTACTCCATCGGGTTCCTGCGCTTCTGCAAGCAGGTAAGAGGGGCTCCCGGCCGCCCTGACCGCCCTGACTGCTCGCACTGCCCAGCGTGGTGCCCCTCCTGCGCCCTCGCCCCTCACTCCCCTCCCCCACTCCCAGGCCACGCTGCAATTCTGTGTCGTGAAGCCTGTCATGGCCTTGGTCACCATCATCCTGCAGGCAGTTGGCAAATACCACGATGGGGACTTCAAGTAAGGCTGGCAGCGAGGGGTGGGCCCCGCCGGGAGCACGTGAGAGGCTGGCAGGGTTCAGCGAGCGAGGACAGGCCGCCCTCCTCTCGGGACACTGCCAGGGCGAGGCCATGGCACACAGACCCAGAGGACTGCGGCCTTGTCCCACGTGCACCTGAGGACGCCATGGCTGTGTAGCCTGGCAGCGATGGGCTCTCCCCAGCCCCGCGCTGCAGTGGGCTGGGTCACTGCCAGCTGACAGGGGTAGGGAGGGCACAGGGGGTGTGCGGCCCGCCCTGACCCTGGCCCTTGCTCGTATCCCAGCATCCACAGCGGCTACCTGTATGTCACCCTCATCTACAACGCCTCCGTCAGCCTGGCTCTCTATGCCCTGTTCCTTTTCTACTTCGCCACCAGGGAGCTCTTGCGGCCCTTTGAGCCCGTCCTCAAGTTCCTCACCATCAAGGCCGTCATCTTCCTCTCTTTCTGGCAGGGTGAGTGGGGCTGCTGAGCCCAGAGAGCCTGGTCCCAATTCCACCTCACTCCCAGTGCCTCAGGCCCAGCCTCAGTTTCCCCAGCTGTAGCATAGGTCAGTAACGCAGCTCTCTCAACTGCAAGCTGTGCAGCCCAGGTGCAGGGCTGGCCTGTTGTGGGTGGAGCAACACGCAGAGTGGCAGAGGAGGACAGTGAGGGGTGGGCCCAGAACTGGAGTTGGGGAGGTCAGGGTGACACTTGGGGTGTCCTTGGATATCCGCTGTGCCAAGACCCCGGCTTTGGAGGCCCCTCTGAATCTCAGTCCCCGCTCCGTGGAACAGGACCAGGTGGGCGGGACATCCGAAGCCAGCCGTGGTGGGCGCCTTGCAGGCGCCTGAACATCAGTGCCCGCTCAGGCCCCCACAGCCCATGAGTCCGGTGTCAGGGGGGTTCCTGGCTGGAGTCAGCTTCAGTCCAGACTCCGGTCCAGAGCAGGTGCCTACATGGCCATCACCGCCCCTTAGGGATGCTACTGGCCATCCTGGAGAAGTGTGGGGTCATCCCCGAGGTCCAAGTCCTGGACGGGAGCAGGCTGGGGGCTGGCACACTGGCTGCCGGCTACCAGAACTTCACCATCTGCATTGAGATGCTTTTTGCCTCCATTGCCCTGCGCTATGCCTTCACCTGCCAGGTGTACTCAGAGAAGAAGGACAACTCGCCAGGTACGTGGGCCCTGGCTTGTGCAGCTCCTGCACTGACATAGCTACGGTGTGGCGAGGAGGGGCGGCCAGCCCCAGCCCCGTTGGCGCCCTCGGTACCACGTCTCTTCCCCACACGGGCCCAGGGAACGTCAGCTTGATGAACAGGGAGGCCCAAGCCCCGGACAGGTGCCTGGTGTGCCCCTGACTCAGGCAGGCTGGCAGCAGAGGCCAGCAGTCTGAGCTCTGCGATGCCTGGACCAGACACTGGACCCCAGGGCCCCTGCGGTGATGGGGGTTGGTGCCACCTGAGCCTGGGGTTCCCCACCCACCACATCCAGGTGCCTGGACTGGCCTGACAGAGTCAGGGGCAGGGGCTGGCTGGTGCTGGCATCCCTAGTGAAGGGCTATTTGGGCAGGGCGGCTGCTCTGACCAGCCTGGAGAGAGGGTGGGAGCCAGCCAAGGTATTCTTTCCTGTGGCCCCAGTCTGGGCTGGGACAGTCCCAGGTGGAGAGCTGGGCTGGCATTTGGGGGCTTGGGAGTCCCCCTGCTGGCCGAGGCCAAGGCCTGGAGATGCCGGAGCCCAGCCCCGGGCAGCCCAAGGCCGGCAGGAGCAGGCCACGTCCCAGGGCTGAGGGCACAAGGCGGAGAGGACGGGCCCAGGAAGCCCCCGGCCCCACTCACACATGCGCCCCCCGCCCGCCCCCCACAGCCCCCACGGCTCCCATGCAGAGCATCTCCAGCGGCCTCAAGGAGACCATGAGCCCACAGGACATCGTGCAGGACGCCATCCACAACTTCTCGCCTGCCTACCAGCACTACACGCAGCAGGCCATGCAAGAGGCCTCGGGGCCCGGCCAGGGCGGGCCCCCCTCCCCCAGCACCCACCCCAGTGTGGCCGGTGGGCCTGGCGGGGGCAGGAAGGGTCGCAATTTGGAAAAGAGGATGCTGATCCCCTCGGAGGAGCAGTAGGAGGCTGGCTGGCGCAGGCCTCCGCGGCAGGACGGGGCCCTGACCACCAGCACTCTTGCCAAAGGTCAAGCCTTTCCAGGGAGCTCCCCCGCCGGGGCCCTGCAGCCCACTCTCCGTCCTGCCTCTGCCAGGCCCGGGAGAGGGCACATGAGCTTATCAGCTCGGGCAGCCACTGTGGGGCAGGGAGCCAGTGTGGCCTCACTGGACAGACAGATCCCAGGCTGGGCAGCTTCGGGGAAGGGCGGCTGGGGGAGAGCTGTGCAGCCAGCCTGCAAGCGCTGGCACTGTGGGCGCCGCAGGCAGGCGACTCCGCTGGGCCTGGCTCTGGCCCTCTTGGGCCCGTGGGAGAAGGGCCAGGGCTGCTCCACACGACTTCCAGCCACGGGGAGCTCTGACCACCCCCCAGCGCAGGCAGGGGCCTGATGTGGGTCTGGGGGTGCCTGGGGCCACTGGTGGTGCAGACAGGGCTTCTGGTGTCCCCACTTATTTATACATAAATGCCTGGGTTTTCTAGTGAGTCTTGTGGCCTCTGTTTCTGCCTGAAGAGTGGACTGTGGTGAGGTGGTTAGAGGGGGCCCCGTGTGCTCGTTCTGGGTGTGCGTGCAGGGTCCCAGCTCAGAGCAGGGCAGGGCAAGCAGCTCACCCTGAGCCTCCCACTCGGAGCCTCATGCCAGCCCCGCCCACAGTGGGTCCCGAGGCCACAGAGGGTGTGGAGGGGCTCGGACCTGGAGCCTGCCTCCCTGCCCTCTCCGTCTGAATGCCAGGCCAGTGCCCGGAGAGCTGGGACGGCTGAGCCTGGGACACAGGGCCCGCCCTCCAGAAGCGAGATAACATGGGAGAGGGGACAGACGCAGCCCAGCGGGGGTGAGGGCGGCCTCCTGGGCCTGGGCCTGGGCATCTGGGTCACCTCATGGGAGGGGCGTTGCAGGAGGGGGCGCAGTGCCAAGTGTAGCAGCGAGTTGCAAGTCTTGGTCTGTCCTATGTGTCTGGGTGCTGGGCAGGCCGGGGTGGGAGCTGGGAGAGGGGCCCGGGGGGCTGAGCAGCAGCCTGGGCACCAGAGAGCCTGCGGGCAGGGAGGCCCAGTGGCCACCACCCAGCGACCACGCCTCCCACCCCTCCTGGTCACCTGTTCTCATGTCATCAGGGAAAGAGGGAAACGCACCAAGGGTCTCAGATTCAGCAGGGTGGGACCTGCCTGGCCAGCAGTGTCCCCAAGAAGTGAGTTCCCTCCTGCCCCCTTGCTCCTTGGGCCTGGGGACATGGGACTCAAGGCCAGCAGCCTCTCGCAGGGCCCAGCTGGCTGCCTGATAAGATAGGCCGAGCCTCCCCGCTGCGTCTGCTGGAAAGTCCCCCTCCTGCCTTATCGTGCCCTCTGCAGCTTGGAGGCCCCCAGTTGGGCCCCCGTGTGGCTCCCACGGCCAGGCCACCCACATCTCGGTCAGCAGGCTTAGAGAAGGGCACAGCACTCCCTGAGGACCCACCGACCAAGGAGGGAGGTTTTCTGAAGCTGCAGGATAGAGGCAAGGTGCCAGGCTCCAGTGTGAGCGAGGGGTGTGTTGCCCTCGAGGCCCTTGCCCAGGGAAGGACCCCTGTGTGGCCTGAGCTGCCCAGAGCTGTGTGCACAGAGGCTAAGAGGGCCGGAGAGCCATGCAAGGGCTCCTGGCTGCAGGTGCCCTCGGGCCAGGCCTGCGCGTGGGGACAGAGCCCTGTTGGGCTTGGTGCTTTGGGAGGGAGAGCAACTTGGTGTTTTCCAAGCACCAGTGTGCCAAGGGCTGGGCAGGGCCCTCACACACATGTCACCCTCACAACAGCCCAGGAGGGTGGCCAAGGCACGGGGAGGCTGAGCCACTTGCCCGAGGTCGCAGAGACAGCGAGGTGGGCCAGCTCCACAAAGCCCAGCTCGCCCCATCCCGGCCCCCCATCTCTACCTGGGGACAGAACCAAGCGCAGCTGTGAGGGCGAGACACGGTGCCCAGTGCTCTTGCCACGTGCAGGGGAAGCACAGCCACAGAAAGACCTGGAGGGCTGCCTGGGCCTCACGGGCCTCGCCCTCCCGAGACACCACGTATGGCCAGGCAGGCAGGCATGGCGTGTCCTGGCCTCGGTGTTCTCATCTGTGAAATGGCCACAGCAATTTGCACCGAGAGCACGCGGGCGGCCCAGGGCCAGGGTTTCCTGGAATAGCTTCCCCAGAGCCCAGCCCACGGCCAGGGTCTGTGCCTTCCCAGCTCACACCCACAGACTTGCTGCCAGCTTGACATGGTGTCAACTGGGCTAAAAAGTCCATCCCCATACTGGATCACAGAAGGGAGCTCGAGGCTTGGAGAGGGAAGGAACTGACTAGGTCACGCAGAAGTCAGGCCAGGACTTAAACCTGTGTGGCTGGCACGGCAGCTCAAGCACAGCAGGGCAGGAGGGCTGGCTGGTGTCAGAAACTCTGAGATGCAGGGCTCACTTGCAAGCTTGACCCTCTTTCAGACCCGTCTGGCCCTGGGCGGGACTCTGGGGGCTGCTCACCACAGAAAGGCAGATGGAGTGGAGCCCTTGGTTTTGGCTTTTGAGGGGAGTGCACTTGCTTTCCCACGCTGCAGGGCACTCTGCTCTCTGCCCCAGCACCCAGGCCAACCCTAAACTCCTGCAAGCTCATGGTAGAGCCCAGCACAGAATCAGGTGAAAGGGCTGGCCCAGCAGCCGGGCGCACCCTGCTCTGGGGCACAGGGGGCCCTCCTAGATGGAAAGGAGGCTGCATCCACGGACTGGGGCTCCTAGTCAGGGCAGGTGGGGTCCTCAGAATCCTGCCCACCATCCAGAAAGTGAGCCCAGCTGCCCCCTCCCACCCTGGGGCCGTCCCCACACAGAACCTCGCAGCCTGGCAGACCCACTCACAAAAACACTGGATGGTGAGGGCTACAGATATGGGGGCTGGACGATGGGGCACAGCACACTCAGGGGCCCAGAGCACCAGCTACAAAGCGAGATGGATCTGAAACCAGAAAACTCTTTATTGCAAAGGTACAAAAGCATCACAGCAGAGATGTACAGCAATAAATTAGGTGGTAGCCGTGGGACGGGGCGGGTGCAGGGCATGTGCCCTACGAACAAGGGCCACCACATAGGGTCTCTTCTCAATAATTTATATCATGATAAAAGCAGCACAAAAATAAATATTGAAATGAAACAGCTGAGCGGCTAGAGGCAAGGGAGACGGGTGCTGAGCTTACAAACGGAGGCCCTATCGCCGGGGAGAGGCGACGGCCTGCCTTCTCGGGGAAGGACTCGCGATCTGAAGCACAGGAGACAAAAACAAACCCACACAACAGAGGCCCTTGCCTTTACTCTTAAATAAAAAAATCCATATATTAAATTGTGACAATGAAATTCCAATGATCTGAAAGGAAAAGAGGAAACACATGAGGGACTGTGCCCGTCTTCCTTCTGTGGCCCCTGGTCCCCGGGAAGGGGGATGCCTGGCCCAAAGCCCCGGGCGATAGGCGTCCCCTCAGTCTAGGGGCAGAGGGGCCCACAGCCAGCGCATGCCCGCCCAGGACTCTCGGGACAGGGCGCTCTGGGGAGCCAGGGCAGCCGCCAAGCAGGGCACCTGGCCAGGGCCCCGGGAGCCTAGCGCCGTCGGCGGGACCCTGTAAGGAAGAGCCGGCGGAAGACAGGAGCAGGGGGGGCGCCCAGCCTCCCTCGAGGGAGCTGCCAGCCAGCGGACATGGGACATGGGACAGGGTGATGACTCCCACTCCCACCCAAACTGCAGCTCTGCTCTAGATTTACAGTATCAAACAGGAAAAAGGTACAAAAAATCTGTACGATAAAACGTGTATATACTTTTATATATATATATATATATATATATATATATATACTTCTCTCTCTTAAATATCTCCCACGGCCCTTATTGATATCCAATGTGGATTACGTACCACGGCTATGGCACCGACAGCTTCCTCTACACAGCGGGACTTTGCTCTGTAAGGACCCAGCGCGGCCCAGACCACTGCCTTCCCCGAGGCCCAGCACCTTCTGTCCGCTGCTGACAACAGACGCAGAAGCAGGACGGAGGAAGCCCTGGGGCCGCTCTTCTGCCCCTTCCTTTGCAGCTTGCTGGGGGTCTCACTGGGTGGGGGCTGGAGCCCAGCAGCCTCAGGCCAGTGGTGGGGCTGGGGCTTGAGGCCCCCCCAGCACCTTCTCAGAATGGCACAGGGGGACCCCTGCAGCAGCTCTCCGGGAAGAAAACCCAGCAAAGGTTACCAAGGGTATCATGGCTCCAAGTGCCCAAAAGGGCAGGTGAAGGCCCCAGGCGATGATGAAGCACCAAGGTTACAGAGCCCCTGTCCTCTGTGCTGCCAGACCATCCAGCTGCTGGTCCGCACGCCCTTCCGGCCCAGTGCCCTCGTCATCCTCGACCCCCACCCGGCACCCTGCTCTCGTGTCTCCTCCAGCAGCAGGAACCGTGCGCCACCCAGCTCCACCGCCGACTTCACGCCTATCCCACCCGGAACCTGCGCCCCTGCCCCTCCCAGCCCCACCTTCCCAGGGCTCTGTGGGCCACAGCAGGGCGCCCACTATTGCTCCACACTGGGGACTTCCTTCGCTCACCCCGACACTCACTCGACTCTCACAGGCCCCACAGGGAAGAAGTGCTTCTCCAAGGCCCCCAGTGCTGTGGTGACTGGCGTGGCGGACTCCGGCAGCCCTCCTCCGTCGGCTTCCTGGGGTGCGCCACTGGCTAACGCCGAAGCAGGGTCACGGTGTATTCTGACACCGGGAACAAACGGCTCCTCCTGGGCCCCAGAGCTCAGTCATGGCAGTGACGGGGCTCCTGTGCTGGCTGGCGGGCCACGGCAGGGGACAGACGCGCTGATGTGTGATGACAGGCTGCTTAAGGGGGGGGTGGAAGACGCAGCCCCTGCCACTGGGCCCCAAGGCCAAGACCCTTCCGAGGGCCTTCCCTCCACACATGCCCACTCCCCTGGGGCAAGACTCAAGAGGCCTGAAAGCAGACGGTCTGGAGAGCTGGCAGGGCCCAGAGGAAGGCGGTGCATGTGTGTGTGCGTGTGCGTGGGGAGGCGAGCGGCACACGGGCTCACAAGGCCCTGCGGTTCATCCGGCATCCACAGCCGCGGCCCCACCGGGCTCTGTGCTCCGACTCGGGTGTTAAGGGGTCTGTCCCCATGGGACCCTCCGATGAGCACGAGGTCCGCCCGGCACCCCGACACCAGCACTAGGAGGCAGCCGAGAAGGGCACGGAGGGGGACTTGACGATGGTGATGACGCTGGTGGTGGCCACCTTGGTGGGCGTGACGGGCCCGCGGGCCACCGTGCGCGCGAAGGTCTGCAGGGCCTCGTACTTGGCGCGCAGCGCGTCCAGCTCCAGCTTCATGCTGGCGTTCTCGGACGCCAGCTTCTCCACCTCCTGCTGCAGCTCCACCCGCTGGCGCTCCAGCTCTTCCTTCTGCGTCACGCGCTTGATGCGGCAGCTGGCGGCGTAGCCGCGGTTCTTGAGCGTGCGCCGGCGCTGCTTCAGGCGCACCACCTCCTCCTTGGTGAGGCCCCGCAGGTGCTGGTTCAGCTCCCGCACCGACATGGACACCAGCTCATCGTCGCTGAGCACCGGGGCGTTCTCGCCCGCCTCCTTCTTGACCTGTGGGGCCGCACACGGGGTCAGAGCTGGGGTCAGGGGCCGGGGCCGGGGTGCAGAGAGGCGGTAGGAAGATGCGCGGCATCCACGCAGGAACAGACCCTGCATGGACGAGAGCCTGGCTCCAGGCCACTGGCCCTCACTCCTCCACCAGGGGACGGTCACTGTGGGGTCCCTTGTCATTGTGCACACGGGGGGCCGTTAGCTGGTCACGGCTGTCCACCCAAACTCTGTGAGGCCGGAGCCCACATGTGCACAGTGTGACCCTGTGTGACTCTCCAATGCCTGGTGCAGGGCTGATACAGGCAGGTGAGTGACAGGAAGGCACGGCAGCCCATCCTGGGCCTGGTGGGATGGGGCTACACCGACCGTGACTTGGCAATACACAGCCCACAGATGCACGGAGATCCCCACTCTGCTCCTGAGACCAGAGGCAGTGGCCCATGGGCCACATCAGCCTCAGAAGCTGAACGGGCCAGGGAGGCAGCTCACACCAGGGACAGTCAGAACCAGACCCTGGGAGCTGGAGCACCACCGTTCACGTGTGCCCTGTCGAAAGTTCTGTGGGACCAGGGCCCATCCCTGGGTGCCAGGGTGAAGTGGCACCCACCCCACCACCCTCCACGCAGGAGTCACCCCCTGGACGTCAGAGCTAGCATCTCCCAAGGCCACAACCCAACTGTGTCACCACCTCTCTCAGTGAACCTTCCTCCATCCGACAGTCCCCACCCTGTTCCAGGTAGCAGGGCTACCTGACACTCTGAGGGTGGTGCTGGGAGAGAGAGGCTGCCGAGAAGCGACAGGACAGAGACAGGATCTGCCCACTCCCACCCCCGCTTACCTTTAATGCCTTGTTCGGTTTGGGATTAGTCGTCATAACCTGGGCACAGTCACCCGGACAAAACTGCTTGGAAACTGTAACTAGAAAACCACATAAGACAAAATGAGCGTGGTTAGGTCCCGCCGAGCTGGGGACGGGGCATGCTGCATCATGAGTGACCTGAAGCAGGTCCCCCACTGCAGAGAGGCTCTGACGAAGCTCGGCTCCTCCTCCATGCTGTCCAGTCACAGCGCCCGAAACCAGGCAGGCCCAGCCTATTCTGAGGGGCTTCCCCAAGGTAGGCATCCTGGCCGGGCCTGGGCCTCTGCCAAGGAGACCCAGGTAGATGCCCAGGCACGCCCCCCACTCCAGCATCAGCCCACGGAGTGGCCCGGATCCACCTCATCCGAGTGTCTTCCCCCTCCCCCCCCCAACAGCCTGTGTTGAAAACGCTGGCATCTTGGGGTGACAGGTGTGAGCAGCTGTTGCTTCCTGTTCTGACCCTCCCTGGAGTTCACGTTTGCACCTGTGAGGCACACACAGGATGCCACGGTGAAGCGCCCAAGTCTGCACAGTAAAGGCCTCCTGAGAACAGCCGCACCTGCCACCTGAGGAGCTGTAGGCCCCAGGGTAGCACCTGCCCTGGCAAGAGCCCCTACTACCGCTGATCTAGACTGCCTCTCCGACAGAAAGGGGTCCTGTAGGGAGCCCCTGCCCTCGCCGAACACCCCAATGGGGGCTGGTGCAGCCCCACCACCCGGCCCCACCCTCCCAGCAGGCCTACCTCTGCCAAGGGCACTGCAGCTGTGACATCACCGCCTCCACCTGGGATGCCCCACAGCCATGACCTGAGACCCAAAGGGTGGGCGGGGGCTCCCTACGCCAGCCTGGGACCGACCAGGGGGACCGGGACAGGGAGGTGGAGAGCTGCCGCCGCCCGAGCTCTCCGACTGTCTGGCGGGAGCTGTCCCGGCCGCCCGCCAGCCCCGCCAGCCCCTCCGCCCGCCCTTCTCATTCTCGTGTGTCTGCATTGTGTCACACATTCTAATCATTCATGAAAAAGCCAGCCAAAGCATCCCAAGCATGATTCCCCTCTGATAGTTGCCATGGCGACCTTGGGACGGAGCCAACCTCCAGTGGTCGTCATGGAAACAGAGAAGCCCACAGCAACAATGGCTTTGGGCCGAGAGTGCAGACATCACAAGGTTGTGGGACAGTAAACAAACCTCTCGTGCCCCAGCAGCTGGGGAGCAGGGGGCACAGGTACCAGACTCACGCGCACACTGCGTCGTCAGCTTACAGGATCAGGGTCTGTCTCCGATGTTCCAAATATCAGACAAGGTGAACAAAGCAATAGGAACAGAGAAACGCACCCAAGGAGGGTCCTTGGGCCCCAGACACAGTGCCGCATCAAAGCCTCCATCTTAGGGAGAGCAAGACTCAGGCCGGTGGGTGGTCTCTGCCTCGCCTTCCCGCGCCCGCAGCCCCAGGACCCTCGCTGTAGTACCTCCCGGACCCTCTGCCCACTGGCCCTGCCTCCGACGCCTGTGGGCCTGCTGGCCCCTCACCGCCAGAGGGGCTCAGCACCCAAGCCCGCAAACCCCCGGTCGCCCCTCGCACCATGGCCAGTGCTGGACACTAAGGATGGGCAATGGGGGGGCAGGACTGCTGCAGGGCCAGGCCGGTAGAGCTGCTCTGCACCCTCACGTGGTTACACACGTGCCCGAGACGGACAGGCAACAGTTTGGGGCGATCCTAGCAGGGAGGTGAGAGCTGCTTCCCAAAAGCGCTTGGATCCCTGGCATCTGGGGGGACCCAATGAGTGCCCTGGGCCCTCCCCTCCCTTCTGTGCTGGGGTCAAAGCCCCCCTGGGGAAGGCAGCAGGAGGCTGGCGGGAGCCATGAGAAACTTTTCCATGTCCAGCAAGGAGGGGTGGCGGGTACCATTCCAACTCGCAACCCGGTCGGTCGTGAGCACGTCAGCGCACGAGGGCCTGGAGCCGCCAGGCATAGCTGTGCGGTGAGTCACCAGCTGTTTACAGAGCGAGAGCTCACATTCCCACAGACCTGAGGCCCCGCCCACCCGGGGACCCGCTCGCTCTGCCAGCTGGCCTGCGGGGCTGCTGGAGGGAAAGGAAGGCCCCAGCGAAGAGGGGGCCTCACGCAGACCCCGACCCGACAGGCAGCGGTGCCTAGAACCAGCTCAGCCAGGACAGGGGGCCTTGGGGCAGAGTTCAGGGCAGCGACACCTCCTCTGCAGACCTGCCAGGGTTACCCCATGGCGGGATGCGAGGTCACCAGGGTGCTTACAGGCCTGGGCCTCGGCACTCATGGGCTTGGCCCCCTCTCCTCCACACAGGCCCCGGAGGGTGTCTCCCTGCCACACCCACCTCACCCACCTCCCTTGGCTTCTGGGGGCCCAGTACCCCAGGTGAGGAGCCTGGGCAGAGACTTCAGAGGGGCCCAGGGTTCCCTCCCACTTGGGTCCAAGTGAGGAGCTCCCCTCTCTGTACTGAGGTCATCATGGTGGGGTCTGACCTCAGGCCGCCTTTAGTCATCAGACCTTCAGTTTAAGGAGAGAAACTGAGGCCTGAAAACGAACATGTGTAAGTAGGGGTGCTGCTTGCCATCATCTCCAGATCAAGCTGGGGGATCACTAAGTAAACCCTCTTCTCTCTGAGTCTTAATCTCCTTCTGAAAGACTGAGGGGTCAGAACCAAGGGGCCCCAGGGTCCTGTCCAGCTTCCAAAGGCCTCAGCTGGGCCAAGTGGTGATGCCGGGAGAGACCCTGACTTGGGGCTCTACTCTCAGCCCCCCAGGGCTTCTGGGCCTGCACCAGGACCCCACTGAAGCAGCAGAGGCCAAGGGGAGACGGGGAGCCCCTGGCAGGAGCAGACACCATCCCTGGCTCCATGCTCGTACGCCCCCCACTGCTTCAGGAACATCACCCGTCGGCGTCTGCCCACTTTCAGGGACCCGCTCCACGGGTCTCTACAAACTGCTGGCAGACTCGGCCGTGCTCCCGCCCCAGCCCTGACGACCCCCAGTCACTGCAGGGCCAGGGCTTGCCCCCCGCGACTGCTTCCTGCCTCTTCCCGAGCTCAGCACGTGGACAAGAAGGCGCCGTTACTTACCTCTCTACCCAAACTACACACAGTGTCCACAGGAAGTCACCTCAAGTGTTAGAACAACAACAGCCTGCTTTGGGAAAGCTCGGAGTTCTGCGAGACAACAGTTTGCAATACAGCTGGTTTTAATACAACAGCCCTAAACACGTATTTGTAAACCGCTGAACCTCGGCGACCTCAGCAGCCCTCAGAGCACACAGGTGGGGTTAGAGACTGTGGTCGTGAGGGGCCGGGCCACGCCGGCACGCTGTGGGCTGCGAGAACGCGCCGTGAAGTCCACTGCCCCTTCCACCGTGGCCTACTGCCAGCATTACAGCATCAGCAACTGGTCAGCACCAAAAAATGCCCTTCCGGCAGCGTCCTGTGAGGGTGCTCCAGGCACTGTCCCACGTCCATCAAGGAACGAAACTCACGCCTCGCAGGGAGCCTGCATCCATCCCAGTACCAGGCCGGGGTCCCAGGAAGGCGGGTCAGCACCGCCGCTGTGTGGGCGACTCACACACCTGAGAGTAACAGCCCACCTCCCAAGGCCCTGACGAAGTTGATCCAGAAAGTCTGCAGTCAGCACTTATCACTTGGAATACCTTTTAGACAATTTCTCCTCTATCTGAAGAGGTTGGTTTTCAACCCAAAGCCTGAAACTTCATTCTGATGTACATCTAAGCAAGGTTAACAGGAAAGACCGCTTCCTCTAAAAGAAAAGGAAACGCACCAGCAGCCCAGATGGAGTCAACTCCGGTGGCTGCACAGTTTGGAATAAATTAGGGAGCCGGGTCTCCCTCCCCTCTGGGCCCCGTAAGAACAGAGCAGGAATTCCATCCCGGGGCATCCTGGAGGGCAGGCCAGGGAGCCCAAGTTCCACAATCCGGGACTACCCTTCCAGGAGGCAGGTGAGCTGGAGGCCAGGGTCTCAGACCCCTTCTGGGTCACTTTTCACTTTATAACTCCCAGCAAACGTCAACCGCTCGCCCACTGCGTTGACTCGGCTCGTCTGGAGTGGCATGCAGCTCTGGCCATCCCTGGTGTCCCCCAGCCCTTGCTGGGCTGGACCCAGCTTCGGGACCCCAGGGGGACGTTTTCTCCATCAATAAAGCTAGGTGGCTGATGGGAGCATGACCCCATCCAGACAGCCCTAGGTTTAGATAATCCAGCAGAAAAGGTTTATGGTTTCAAAGGGCTCCAGTTCTTACCGAGATTAAACAAGCAGCCACCCAGCCTAGACGCTGAGCCTCATGTGGGCAGGAAGCAGAACCCAGGGCTCAGCACAGGTGGGCTCTCAGAACACTGTTCCTGCTCAGGGTGGAGGCCCGGCGGTGGCCAGTCCTGGAGTCCGCCCATCACCCTCCCAGCCGACCAGATAAAGACGGAGTGCCCCTTCCGTTCCCTTCTCCCAGGTCTCTGAGGATGGCAGGTCCAGAAGGGGCAGTAGGGAGACCAAGGAGGAGGGAAGGGGTTCCATCCGAGGGGAGCAGGCCCCGATTCCAGGCCGCAGCGCAGCGACTGACCCTCACCACCATGATGTGGCACCTCTAGGAGGCTTGGGGGGCCCTTTTCACAAATGACCCAAAACTGAGTGCCCCTCCCAGCTGCTGGCCACACACATGGTAGAGCCGACACAGCAGGCACCTGTCAAACAAGCACATGTCACCCGACTGCAGACAGCTCCCAGAGCCAGGAGGGCTCCTACCACCCCGCTCACTCTAGACACCGTCCCACAGGGCCTCACTGTGCACCCCACCACGCGGCCTACACCCAGCTTGCAGGCTGCCCCTGGCTGGCTGCCCTCCGGCAAGATATGACTGCCGGGCTTGGAGGACATCTGGTCACCTTTGCAGTTTGAGGAAGCTGTGTCATCCTGGCTACGTCCAGAGGTGACTCAGGCGGCTGCCGGGCTGACGGCAGGCTGAACACCACACCGCCCTGGCTGGCCATGCCCGGGGCCCCTCGCTCTCACCACCCAGCCCCTGGCCACGCCTGCTCCCCTCGCACTTGTGGTGGTCCCCCTGCCTTGGTTCCCCGGTAGAGTCCTGTCCATCTCATGCCGCCCAGGGCTTCAACCAGCCCAACCTCCACATCCAGCCAGGCTCGTCCCCTGGAAAACCTGACAGTCTACACATCCAACAGTCCCTACACCTGCCCTGCGTCTCCAGCTCAGGTAATGACCTCACCACATTATTCACCCAGAAATCACCCCCAAGGCCTCTCCTCTCCATCCACACCCACTAGCTGACCCTGGCCGACTGGCCTCGGCCCAAGTCTCCCTGCTCCAGCCCTGCAGCACTGCCCCAGCTCAGGTCCCTGGCTTCTCCCGTCTGAACTCTGATCTAGGTTCCCCCAAGTACAACTCCCACAGGCAGGCAGAGGGACCCCCTCAGCATCTCTCTAGAGGCCCCCCGCCAGCCCCCTGGCCACCTGTTGCATTCCAGGCCTCCAACTCTGGCCTCTGGCTTCCTAGAGCTCCCCACAATCTGTGCTGGGCTCCTACCCTTCTCCCCCATCGCCCCCTGCCCTCTACACCCCCAACCTTTGCCTCACCAGAAGGCCCCCTTCTGTCCTCCCTGTGGTGGGGGGAGGGCCCTCTCCCGAGCACACATCTGGGGCTGCACCCAAGACCAGGCCCTGGATGGACAGCAGGGGACGCTCATACCTACGCTGCCCACCCTCCCCCCACCCCCCACTCCTGGCAAATAAAAGTTTTGCTGCATAACAGATGCATTAGCACTGCACTGAAGGGAGGGGGCCTGGGGGGCGGCTTCACCCCAACACCTCTCCACCCTCCGTGCCAGGGCACCCGACATCAGCACAGAAAAGCAGGCAGGGCGATGCACAAGACCCGGACTCCACCACCATGGCCCGGGTGGGGAAACCCGAGCCTGGTTCCTCATTTACAATGGAGTGTGATTCCAAGGTTAATCCACACCTGCCCTGAAATGCGACAGCTTTAAGATGACACTTGGACTTACTGCCACTGTAAGAAAGAGGAAGCACGACGACCGTGTGGACTTACGAAAAGCAAAAGTAAGTCCAGAGCAACGCGTCTTCCACGAGCCGAGAGCAGGCGGAGGCACTGTTTACGGCGCTGAGGGGCAGCACACAGATTGTTCCCAGCTGGCCAGGGCTCCGCTTCCCGTGTGGACCGTACCGAAATCCAGGAAGTCCACTCCAGAAACCTTTAGACTCAGGAACAGCCAGGCCACAGGCAGGGCTTCTCCCAGGTTGCCCCAGACTATAAACAAATGCTCCCACACCGTGGAGCCCCCGAGTGAACGCATGCACAGCTGCCGACAAAGAATGGCACCGAAAGCCACCACACGGGCTCACGGCAGCCTCGGGGCTGGGACACAGCAAGCCCTCCACTCAGTAAGACCCCAATGCCCCACTGGCCTCGACTCAACTCCCATTTCAGCAACCACCTTGAAAGTGTGTGACGCTGAACTCAGAAGAAGAGGTCCCTTGAAGTCCAGCTGTGTTCAAGCACCAAGGCAGACTCCTCGCTTCTGGGAGAAGCCTCCCTTGTGTTCTCAGTCAATACATGCTTTATTTTGGAATAACGGCAGTCTAGCTTTAGGGCGTAAGGGCTGGCCGCCTCTACGAGCCCCAGCTTGAACATTCCTACTGGGTTACCTGGGAGAGAAGGGCTTGTGAAGCTCCTCGGCTACCCACAACCAACAGGTGGCAGGCGTGCCCCACCCGCCTCGCCCCCCACCATGCCCGCCCCAGACCCCTCCCATGGCTTAGACTAACACTTCTGTAAAAGCTCCATCCCCCTGAAGACAGCAGATTTGGGGCCAGGGCTCCATGGGCAGCACACACCAATCAAGATACCTGCGCGGTGATCGTAGTGACAGTAAAACCTTATCGATGCCAATAAAGCGGTGGGGGGCAAGGGGGCAGCTGGGCGGCCAAGCCACCGTGCAGGAGCCTACAGGTTCTATCACCCTGTGCTGGGCGTGCATCTGGCCAGGGAAGGTGGCGGCTGTGTGCGGTTAGGCGGGAGAGCCCTTTCTGCCTGGGCTAGGACGGCTGTGTGAAAGGTAAACAACAGTGTAATCATTAACACGAGACCAGGGCACCAACTCCCAGCAGTCACCGCACAGCTGCCCGGGATGCCGGCAGGTGTCTCCGTGAAGACTCCACGACTGCGCTGAGCGGCAGCCCTACCAGAGACAGGACATCGAGTGTTTCCCGTCCCCTCCCCTCTGAGGCTCTGGAGTCGGCGTGGAAGCCGACAGACGGACACATTACCTGTGTCCTGAACTCAGCAGTTAGAAAAAACCCCATCCACAGACGAGAAAAATAAGACGAGCGGGCCGCCGGATTTGGGGGAAGTGACACTGGCGCCCCGTCCCCATCCCCAACCAAAGCTTCCCCATCAAGGCCTCCCTTGGGGAACCCCTGGCAGGTCACCCGCTCAGAATGTGACCTCGGTCGGCGAGTCCCCCGACCCCGGATCGGTGTGGGCCTTGCCGCGGGCACCGTGCGAAGGGGCCGCAGGGCCGGCCGGACAGCACACCGGAGCCACGGAGGCGCCCGGGTACCTGAGGCCGAGCGGCCCTGCGCGCCCACGCGCGCCCTGCACGTGGCCTTTATTTTCGCCCTCGCCTTCCCGCCTTGGAGCGGGTCTCCGGGGGGCAAAGGCAGGCAGGTGGGGAACACGGGGGAGCTGGGACACGCGGGCACGCCGCCGCGCCGAGTCCTGGACGCCCATCGCCTCCGGGCTCCAGAAAGGGGCGGGGGGCGCGCTCCCCAGCGCCCAGAAGGAAGGCGACCCGGGTCTAGGGGCCGGGACCAGACCCCCGCCCGCGCGGCGCACACTGGCGGCACACCTGACCGCAGGTGCGCTGGGCCGGGCCAGAGGGGGGACTTGGGGTCCCGCCCAAGTTTGCCGAGGGTTCCACGCGGCCGTGACTCGGCGGAGGGCGGCCCCGGCCCACCCGGCCCAGCCCCGCTGACCCTCACCTTGTGTGGCGCGGGGGGAGCGGGCGCGCGGCGGCTCCTCGCGGGCACGCGCTCTCCTC